AGATGAGAACTGCAGAAAATGTGAAGAATGTGCAATCTTAGTTTAAAGGTAAGCAGGCGCATAAATGTTTGCTGGACCAGGGCCAGACTGCTTAACACCTTGCATGATCAAACCCACAATCAACTATAGTAATGCATTAACACTACCACAAAAAAAAAAGATATTTGGGGTTTTATTAGGGATTTTACAAACATTCCAACAACCCTGGAATAAATAATAAGTTAGCTACCTCTAGTTTTTCTGGAGCCCCATAAAACATCCTGTTCAAAAGTCAGAATAAAACTTCTTAAATTGAAACCTATTCACAGTAAATTACCTTTGCTATGTTTTCCTCATCTGCAAAAATAGCCACGGGATTTACAAAAATTAACTTTCAACCCTGTCTAAAAAGGTCTTCCTCTTTCAAATTGTTAACCACAGTAAGCATTTATTCCCCTCTAGCTTCTGCTTAAACAAGCTGCAGTTGCTAGTCAACTGGAGGTTTTGCAATATATTCATTGTTATTTGCTGTGCGAATCTGGAAGTGTGAATGTCACCATAGAAGACACCAGTCATCAGCAGTGAACAAAGAATTTTAAAAAAGGATTTGTTACCTGAAATATTAAACTTTTTACTAACTTTTCTACCACTATCTGCCTCTCTGATACTCCTTCACTATCTGCATCTGAGCTTTCTGATAAGACATAAAACTACTGTTTTAAGCACCTGTGCTCATTAAAAATTCCCAGGACACTTTTTGTAAAAGAAGGGATATTAACACTAATGTCCTAACTCAGTTCTAAACCAGTTAGCTACATTTTGCCTACCTAAATTAACCCTGTATTTTCCAGTATTCTTCTTCACTTCCCATCCTAAATCGCTGCCTTGCCTTGGATATCAAAATGCTGCCATATTTGCCCCAGATCTATGTGCATTTCACAGTTGGTTGCATGATCCCTATATATAATTGCGTCTGTCACTGTGTTTGCAATAAGTTTTGGGAACCTTCAGGAGGAAAAGAGGTAGGTACATAAATACATAGAATTTATCATTACAATCCTTAAAAATAGCTCTTCTCCACTTCCCCAGTCTCCATTTCTTTCTCTACTCTTACTTAAATTTAACAGTACTGTTTAGCTTTGTAAAGCATTTGGAGCTGTATTGTGTATGAAAGACATGATGACTATAAAACTGTATTATTACAGAATGTCTTTGCTAAGCTTGTCACAGTCTTCCATAGTTAATTGGATATTTTCATTTAATTAATGAATGGCTCCTGTGCAGCTTTTACCTGGCTTCATACCTCGTCTCTTATTTTTAACTTTTATAAGTAAAAATGTTAATTGAAAATTTATGCCCATAGCTTCTATAGAGGCATAATCTAGTATACAGGTAACCAGGCTGGGACCCTGGAAATCTGGGTATTCTCAGCTCTGCCACTGACTGGCTGGTGGCCTTGGGCAAATCATTACATCCCTTTCTGCCTCTTTTCCGCCACCCATTCTTTGTCTGTCTTGTCTATTTAGGCTGCAATCTCTTTGGGGCAGAATGTCTCTGTGTCTGCACAGCCCCTGGCACAATAGTTGAGGTCTGTAGACCCTCCCATAACATAAACAACACATGTGAATGTGTGAAAGCCATTAAGGATTCTCATAGTGCCAGATTCTGCCACCCTTTTTCACACTGAAAATGCCTTAATACATGAAAAGTCCCATTGAAATCAGTATGACTGCTTGAAGAATAAGGTATTAGTCAGTGTGAATAAAGGGGGCAGAATCCCTCAGAGTGATTAACTCTTCTCCAACACCAGTACCCCACCCCATGGAGTCCATCAGATGCAAACAAGAGTTTACGACCAGAAATATACTCAAAGTAGAATGTATGATGTGACGAAATTTAAAGCACTGATTTGACCTTTAGTGCCAAACTTATTTATGTTTTACAAAAATAATCGTTGCCTGTTTTTTCTGACAGCTCCCTCATGATTGACAGGAGGTCATGTGCCAACATATATGAGCTGTTCTATAGAAACGAAAGGCAGCAAAGATTCTCATTTAATTCCAAACCAGGCTAAGATAGAAGAAGCACAAAGAACCTGCTTTTTCATCAATCGACTGCATGGCTACTGTCAGCCTCCAGATGTATCTGCCACAATGGATCAACAGCCTGTTCCCATACTTTCATTAGTAGCAACTGTCACATCTGCAATATGTTATACAGTGAAACCTTTGTTATCCGGCACTCTGTTAACCAGAAAACATTGTTAACTGGCATTGCCTCCAGCCACAATACTGTCACATCTTCAAGCGCACAGCCTGGCTTGGTTTACCATGACTGGCATGCCGGATAACACATGTTTTACTGCATACAATAATGATATGCTTTCACTGCCAAAAGAATAGTTCTGAAAGCTCAAAAGGAATTTTACTATTGTCCATTGGTTCTTCCTAGGTTGATGGGACCCACAGATAACCAGACATACAATAATGATATGCTTTCACTGCCAAAAGAATAGTTCTGAAAGCTCAAAAGCTTGTCCCTTCCACCAACAGAAGTTGGTCCAATAAAAGGTATTGCCTCACCTGGCTCATTCTTCACTACAGTCAAACAAACCCAGAAACACTTTTAAACAATATGTGCAGTGAGATTTACCCAGCACAGAATCTATACACCATATAAGCCATATGTTCAGAGACCCAAGTGTCATACTGGCCCTCTGCAAAGAGGTGAATTTAACCCCTAGAAAAGAAGAAGAAAGTGAGCATTATTCATTATTCCCATTTCACACTAGTGCAGCCCATTTCAATCAATGGAGTAATGTGAACATGAATCTGGAGTGAAACACTTTGCTGAATCAATATTTTCTGACTCTGTCATATAATTAACCATATATATATCCGAAATTTAATATTAATAATCCCCTTTTCTCTTCAGAGTACTTTATAAACACTAATTTCTAGCCATCCAAGGTATTTATCAGGACTTCAGTGCTCTATTATCTGAGCATTTCACAACTTTTTAAAAACATATTTATACTCTTCACATCAGGTGGGAAAGTGATATTTTCTCTAGTTTACAGATGGGAAACAGGCACACAGAGAACACGGTCAGCCAGGAGTTTGGGGCAAGCAGAGACTTGAACGTAAGTCTCTCAGACTGTGGGCTAGAGACCAAACCAGTGGACCATCCTTCATTTCTCATAGCTTATAATGACAATTTATAACACATGGTCTAATTTTGTATTTATATCAAAAAAAGGGGAAAACCCTCCCCAGTATATTTTCAGAAATTCTGAACCATTCATTAGTGTGCATCATAAATGTTTTTGCAAACATATCAAACCTCTGTGATATTTATTACACCAACAGTTTTCCCCTCCTACAAAATGCAGTATGAGTGATGTATTATTTATGTTGTTTCTTGCTGTAAAAAAGAGACTATGTCTGAAAACAGCCTGAAATGAAAAAGCAGCTTACTTGTCAATATGAAAGCTATGAAGATCAGACAAGGATTCATCATTCTACAAACACAAACCAACAATTGTTGATCAGTCTCTTCCACTGTTAATGGCTGACCAGTAATAAGCCAAATGTATTGTCACATATTGTCTGCTATATCTTCATTGCTATTTAGTTACTGTCTAAACAGGCCCAATATACAGTCTGAGCTTGGCTTCTGCATTGGACCTCATTCGAATGACACTAATGACTTACTTTTCACTCATGCAGCACACATTTACAGTGCACCTATTTCACTTTTACTACTCACCATTAATACCATTACCAGTCACTTTAATCACAAGAAAAAGATACCAAATCCCACTTACATTTGCTATAAAACACCCATAGAAAAGTGTTTTCACTGACATACATGTTCCAGTCTTGCCTTAATTAACAAACACGATCTTTCTGTTCACAACATTTTTTCTCCGCAATTATGGGCTGAAGCATTTGAAGTGACAGAAGAATACTAGATTAGCACGATTCCTTCTTTGGCCTTGTATATTCTTTTTTTCCTGTGACTCTCTCTCTCTCCATTCACTCTGTTTGCCTTTTGCAATAACGCACGCTATTATTCTAGCAGCAGGAAATCCACCCAAGTAAGTGTTCAATAATGCCACATGGATATTCTGGATGAAAAGCAACGGAAGTGGCTGAGACATTGGTGTGCTTATGTGGCAATTAAAAATTGGCATCTGGTCCATGCCAGCTGACTTGGGTGAAGGGGCTGTTTAACTGAGCACCTTCCAGAGTAGGTAGACACCTAGTTTGTTAACCATCCAGAGTTCTTATTTAAAAATAAATCTTGGAGCCTGATTCTTCCCTGGTTTACCCTTTGTGTATAGTGGGGGCAGACACTGTCATCTGGAGAACTATGATCTTGTCACATTTTTTGTCCACTTTGAACAAGGGTAAATACCTACACAAGAGGAAAAGCAAGAGAGACTTAGGCCTTAGCTATCTGCCTTTCTAAATTCTGTCCATTGCACAAAAGAAACAGCTATGACTGGAACATGGATACATAAGCTACTGCTTGGAAACAGATAAAACCCTGAAAGAGATAAAAACAGATAAAAATTGAAAAAACCCTGAGCACCTATTTTAGACAAAATTTTGTTAACCATCTCTAGCAAGAGGTAAGGGATGATGGTCCTGTCCACAGATCAGCATTCTTTCAGCTAGTCTCTGAGATGAAACATTTCTGCTTACTGCATGCTAAACACTATGCTATTGTACAAGCCATGTTTTTTGTCTGAAGGAGTCTCAAGCACACATGGTTTTTATGACCTAATTTAGACAACATTCTCCTGCAGGCTTTGCTGTTTGATACTATGTTTGATTCAAACATTTCAGTGATTTGACCTGTGCATGTAACCCATTTTTTGGCTACACTTGGTTCATTAGCAAACCTTGATTTTGTTTAGTAAGTTTGTGTTATCCTCCTGTCAAAAGATTTGCTTAACATTAATCATCTGCTTTAAATATCAAGCAATTGTGAACAAGTAAAAAAAAATCTATTACCGATTTCCTTTCCTGTTTCAGCTCTTGCATGTAGCGTGTTAACTCTGCAGTGATCTGAGAGGTCATGTTCTCCGAAATGACTTCATGCTGGCCGGCATAGTCATTCATTTCATTCAAGGTGACTAGGAAGGCTTTGCATGATGTGTACCTGAAGAGGACAAAAAATGCGCTGTGCTTTTAGTCCATTTGTTTTCAGGAACACACACTACAAAGAGAATTTGCATTCCTCCCAGCATTCAGTAATATTGTACAATATGGGATACTCATTAGCACAAGTTGGCAGGAGTTTACTGAAAGGGAACCTTATACCACGCATTGACAGTTCTCTGAGAAAACAATCATGACATAATTATAGTTTTACAGTGGCCTCATACATACTAAAAGCATTTTGACTTTACTAATCTAAAAACTATTCAGAAAATATTTGCTGGCTTCACTACCATAATGGTCCTGACCCTGCTGTTTGCATTCATTATTTAAAAGGAAAAATTAAGCTTCCATGAATATGGTTAATTTCAGGAAGGCAGATTATACTATTGGCATGCACAGAACTGAACCAGCAAGCAGCATTTAATTCTCTCAGGACAGGCTGAAGTGCTGACCAATTGGAGGAGAGAACAGCTAAGGAGAGTTGCATGTCTAGATTCCAGAATTATAATATTCATGTTAGATGCTTGTTGCAGCTTCCTGTGCTAGGAACACATAAATGATAGCATCACTTAAAGGGAGAAAGGAAATAAAAAGAGAGAGGGTAATAAGAGGGGGATGTGGGGAGCAAATTAAGAGATATGAGAGAGAGAGCGCGAATGAGCGCATGCATAGGAATGAAGTTGAGGGTAATAAGAGGGGGATGTAGGGAGCAAATTAAGAGATATGAGAGAGAGAGCGCGAATGAGCGCATGCATATACACATACACAAATGTAAAGGAGGAGCAAAACCAAAGACTGGAAGAGAGGAAGCCATGGAAGGGGGAGAGATCAAAAAGGTATCCTTATTGGAATTAGCTACATTTATATCCTAGTCAAGCAGTTTTGCACCCAGAAAGGCAGATTGCTGAAGGGGAGGGTCACAGTCCTAACCTGTAGTTAATGTAATGTAATGTAATATAATACAATCCATCTCTGGAACTATGAGATAATAAACAAAAGAACCACCAAACCACTTACTAAACCAAATAATGATACAAGGAGCCATATTCTCAGCTAGTGTAATTTGCTCTAGCAGCTGTTTTACAGAAGCTGAGGATCTGACCCAAAATCTAGATACGCCCAATTACGTAACTAATGAAGCCAAACCTATACTCACTGAAGTCAACTGAAACATCCCCATTGGCTTCAGTGGATGGAAAGGCCTGTCTATTTTTAGCTTCCAGTGAAGAGAATCTAGTCCCTCATTTATACACTCCTGTAGAGTTTCAATCTTTTATGACATTTTCTTTAAAAAAAACAACCCTGTTAATTATATGAATCTTCAGTCAACTAACTTTAAAAATGCTGGCTGGGTGCACTGATATAAGTAAAGAAATGTGAAGTTCAGGTCCTTTCCAGGATGCTCAGCTTGAAGAATTACTCTTGATCCCATCAAGGTCAGAGAGGACCTCCAAAATGTGTGTGTGTGTACAGTGTCTCCCCCACCTATAATGCTATTTTTAGCAGTGTAGTGTCCAGCTGCCTTCCCACCTCCGTGAAAGACTCTCATGAAGCAGGGAAAGGCTCTGATAGAAGAGAGGCAGTGGAAAAAGGCTTTAGCAGCTCCCTGTTGCTGGTGTCTTTCCCCACTGCTCGGGAGCCTTTCACTGCCACATGTAGCAACACACCACAGTATAGACACAGCCTGCTTGTCAGTGTGGCATGTAGCTACACATACCCTAAGGGTAGTGCAAGTGTAGATAAGGCCTTTTTCTAGGATTTCTATATTTTTCTACCACACTTGCTTCTCAATAATTTACTCCCCTCTCTCAATCTACCCAGACACATCCCCACCAATAGGTTGATAATGAACATACTTGTATTCTTCCTCTTCTTTGGAGTTCTTTTTGGGCTGATATTTCTTTGAAAGATTCCTGAAAATAAAAATAAATAAATAAATACATTTGTTTATTAGAATTGCCAGATGTTATCCACATGCTCCACACTCACAGCACCCCAGCATTTATTATTTAGTTGTAATGACCTGATACATTCATAATAATTAATAATAATGTATATATTATTTCTGATGCATTAGTACCCAAAGGCCAGATCCCTCTTGTGCTAGACACCTCACAGGCATGTAACAAAGAGACAGTCCCCTGCCTTGAAGATTTTACAATCTAAATGAAAGACTATATACAACAGGTAGATACATCTCTCTTTACCTCAAATGATTTTTCTTAACCTAATGTGCAAACATAGTAACATGTCCATGGCCACCAGGGCTGTAATCACACTGCACATTCTGAATATCATAGTGGCAAGAGAGACTGACTCAGATCATGCTACTCCATAAACACATGCCACATCTACCTGAGCAAAAAAAGAACCTCCTGCAGCTATTAATGGCATTAGGCCTACGACAAACAGTTGCACTGTTCTGATTCCATGCAGGAAAGAGCAGCAGTACATATACTCATCAACCAGCCCACTACAGTACGATTTGCTATAGAAACACCACCAGTGGTCTATCAAGTCTAGAAATCCCCCTCTGACTATTGCCTTTACTTGATACATATAAAGAAGGTGAAAAACACTGGCCAGTTTTTGGATTCTGCACAGATGGGGTGAAGCTGAGGAAGTCCTTCTTAACAACTGTGATGATCATCTGATGTAGTGAGAAACAGGAAATCTGATCATGCCATTTCATCACATATTATTCTACACATTATTATTAGTCATCAAATTATCCATTCTCTTGTAAAATCCTACTATGCTATTTGACTGCTCATGTCTGGAACAGAGAAGCAAAAGGTAACTGCCTTCAAAGATCTCTCCTAGAAGCAGGCACTACAAATCCCTAGCCAATGGCAAATCTAGGATTTAACATACTGAGTCACTCAGTAGAGCTCATCAGTGCTTACAGCTTCAGAGCTATAACATTCTCCTCCTAACAAGGATATTTATCCCCTATTCTCAGTCTGGCACAGTTCACAGAATGTTTCTTGAAAATGCAGACTAGATGGCTGATAAAAATGACATGGTGATTTTTTCAGGGTTTCCATGTAGAACTGGAGGCAATATACTGAAATCAAAGTTAAGTTTGTACAGGAACCTGCCATTTCGTATTGTCACATATCTGTTTCACAACACTAAGTAATTATGGTTCCCACAATAAACACCTCTCTATTCCTCACTTTCCCTGGTACTTATTTCCTTATTTGGTAACTGTCTACATTTCCCATTTCCTCTTTTGCACACAACTTTATTATTTACGCAAAGCAAACACTCTTCCATCAAACCCTTTTTCACTTCCCTATTTCTTTTCTTCTTTACACTTTAACTCAGTGGTCTCCAACCTTTTTAAGCACAAGATCACTTTTTGAATTTAAGTGCAACCCAAGATCTACCTCATATACAAATACCCTTGCCCCACTTCCTTCTTACCCCTTCTCCAAGGCCCCGCCCCTGCTCACTCCATCCTCCCTCTCTTGCCCATCCTCACTCACTTTCATCAGGCTGGGGCAGAGGGTTGGAGGTGCAGGCTCTGGTCTTGGATTTAGGGATTTGGAGTGTGAGAGGGGCTCTGAGCTGCTCTTGGGGCAGGCAGTCGGATGTTAAGAGGGGGATCTAAGTGCAGGCTCTGGCAGGATGTTTGGATGCATGGGTGCTCAGAGCTAGGATAAGGGCTTGGGGTGCATGAGGGGGCTCATGACTGGGGTAGGAGTTTGGGATGTGGGCTCCATCTGGGCACTGCTGGTGGCTCCTGGGTGGTGGTGGTGCAATGGGGCTAAGGCAGGCTCACCCGTGCCCTGGCCCTGAACCACTCCCAAAAGCAGCCAGCAAACACCATCCCTGGTCCTGTTGTGCCTCCTTTCTGTTCTGTAGAGAAAGGATACAGAATGGGAGAGGGGGCACCCTGACATCATCACCCCTCTTTTCCCTCCCCTGCCCTGCGCAGAGAGCAGGAGACTCCCAGGGGGAGGGGCAGGAGATGCACAGCAGTGGGGGTAAGGGGCAGCTGAAGTGTAGGCACTTGATAGCCTTTTGGCCAAACCAGTCAGGATCACTTGTCAGAGGCTCCAAGATCTACCAGTAGATCCCGATCTACTGGTTGGTGACCACTGCTTTAACTGAAGGGCAGAGTTGAGATGCAGGAAACCAGTCAAAATCTATTCAACCTCTGTACATTTATACTTTTCAAAATAGAAGGAAACATACACACACATGCACACAGAGAAGAAGAAAAGTGCAGAGAGAGATTTGATCATACATACCTAAAAGGTCACTGGGAGTACGTCTAGACCACGTGCCTCTGATGACAGAGGCATGTTGATTAGGCTACCTGGCAAAGGAAAATGAAGAGGCGATTTAAATAATCGCAGCTTCATTTAAATTTAAATGGCTGCCACGCTGAGCCGACAAACAGCTGACCGGCTCA